GCGCATTTACATACAAATACAGTTTGTCCCTAATTTGATAACAGGTTTCCGGTTAAATGCGATTATTATAGCATAATTTTGAATGTGATTGTTTATGTAAAACTTTATTTTGATAGTCCACTTTAGACACACTGACTGTGTCAACTTATTCTACTAAACCTAACCTAACAGTCTACTCTGAGAGTTAGTAGACATGTAGTTGCAAGTTAATGAGAATTAGTTGACATGTAGTTGCTTATAGTTAGTAGACTGTCAAAAGGGGACTATCAAAATAAAGTGTAACCGATTTTTATGTTAAATGTTAATTATTGTTTGATTAAACATTAGCAATTCATAACGAAGCAAACTGATGAAGTAAACAAAGATAATGTGGCTTTAACTGCATGGATAATATCCGCGTCAAATTATAATTTTTTTTATTGTGGGTTTTTTTTGGGGGGGGGTTTCGTGGGTGCATCACATTTAACTCTCAGATAAAATAATTTCTGGAGATTTCTGGTGTGTAATAACAGTGACTGACAGCAAACAGATGCACGTGATCCTGAGCAGCAGGTTTCCATCAAGAGACGTGCGCGGATAAAAGAACAAAATTAACGCGATATTAATTAAAATTTCATCTGAACTCACGTTTATTTTATTTTATTTTATTTTATTCAGCGTCTAAAGTCTACATGTCAACTCGAAGGGGTTTCGCGTGCGGTCTTAAATAAAGGCCATTATTCCTGCAATCAAATTAAACTTCATCTCACACTACCAACCAGAGCCACATTAAAGCTGAAACAATCCCACAATTCATTTAGCGCGAGCTAGAATGCGTCCGCTCTTGAAAACTCGCCCATTCTCGCCCTAATGACATTAGTCCTAATAGCCATTAATAGTCATTTATTTAAAATTATATCTGCGCACGCTGAACGGAATACACTCTTAAAAATAAAGGTGCTTCACAGTGATGCCATAGAAGAACCTTTTTTTTTGTCTAAATGGTTCCATAAAGAACCTTTAACATCTGAAGAAGGTTCTCCAGATTATAAAAAGGTAAGAAAAGAGATGGTTCTTTAGTAACACTTTATTTGAAGGTGTCCTTGTTACACGTTACATGTAATAACAATAAATTGTTACTAACCCAATAGATAAGTACATGAAGTTAATTAATATTACTCAGTACTTAAATGTATAACTACATTGTAACAATGACACCTTCAAATAAAGTGTAACCGAACCTTTGACCGAATGGTTCTTCTATGGCATCGCTGTGAAGCACCTTTATTTTTAAGAGTGTTAACACAGAAAGAGGATATTTCAAAAGGAGCAAATATAAAGAAGGAAACTGACCATGAGGATGAGGATGATGATTCATTATTTTTTTTTATATATTTATATATATATATTTAATAATAGACCTTGTAAAGTCTAAAAGTAGCTACTCTCATAAACTGACGCCACAAATATTATTTTTATGCTTTATGGGACTGATTTTCTCTGCGCGCTTCTACAGAATGAAACGCAGAAAAACGCGATTGCTCATCACTTTCTTTCTTTCTTTCTGCCTTTCTTTCCTGAACAACTCAATCCTCACATATGTCCTCTTAAACCGCGCCACAAATCTCTCCTCACATCCGTAATCCACTGCTCTTCGTTCCTCTTTCAGTTCCGTACAAGTTCTTCTCGGACCCCTCCGGTCTGAACGAGAAGCGCAAGCGGCGGCGGATCCGCACGACCTTCACGAGCTCTCAGCTGAAGGAGCTGGAGCGCATCTTCGCGGAGACGCATTACCCAGACATCTACACGCGCGAGGAGCTGGCGCTGAAGATCGACCTGACCGAGGCGCGGGTGCAGGTGAGGCTCCAGCGAAGCGTTTTTACTTTATAAATGCGTTTCAATGGCACGTTTTTCTGTTTCTGTTCGGCGTAATATTTATACGCAGAAATTGACTTCGGCGTGCATATGATACGCAATGGTTAGGTTTAGTGGTGTGGGGTAGGTGCGTATTATATGCACGCAAAAATGCGTATTATATTCACGCCAAAGTCAGTTTTTGGTATAAATGGCACGCAAAATACAAAAAAAAAAAAAAACGTGCTATTGATACGCATTTTTATTCGCTAAAAAAATCTAACAAAACAATTGAATTTTGGCTGATTTGAATATCTGGGTCTCGCTTTTTTGCCTGCAGCGCTGTTCGCAGACGCTTCCAAATGTAATTAATTTAGTTGATTTTATTAGGTTGATTTATAGCAGCTATTATCCGTCTGCGCTCTTAAAAAATAAAGAGGGTTTTCGCGACGAAGTGATCAGTTCTTAAAAGAAGCATTTTTTTCTTAGTGTGAAGAACAATTTAAAAATCTTTTTACTTTTGTGGAATGGAAAGGTCTCACACTCTTACAAATAAAGGTTCTTTATTGGCTTCGATGGTTCCATGAAGAACCTTCATCATCCATGGAGCCACTAAAGGAAGGACGCCTTATAGATGCACATCAATATCACGAATGATGTTGCTGTCAGTAAATTAGTTCTTCATTTCCTCTTACATGAAGGTGCAGAAATGTTTAGTCCAGCAGGAGAAACGAGATTTATGGAGAAACATCTCAGAATGCGATTAGAAGAGCTCTAACCAAATATTCACAACTGATTATGGGTTTACTAATGGTACGTTCCTAAATTACCAATCTTAAATATTAATATTCTTCATGTTGTTTACTCTTCCGGAATTCACTAGAGATATAAATTCAGACAGGCACATTTTTTCATTTTCTCTTAAAAGAGTTTCTTGGTGAAAAGGTAAAAATAAGGTTGAATAAAAAGGTTCTGTAGATGATTGAGATGTTCTTCACACTAATTAAAAAGGATTCTTTTAAGAACTGATCACTGAAAGGTTTTTAAGGAACCAAAAATGTTTCGTCTTTGACATATTTACAAAAAAAAAAACTTTATTTTTGGTGTAGATGTAGATTTACATGCTCAAGAAAGAGTTTATAGTGGAAAAACACTTAAAAATTGTTTTTGGCAGCAATTTCATAGAAGACCCATTTTTGGTTCCCCAAAGAACCCTTTAATGAACAGTTCCTAAATTAACATTTTATTTTTTCATAGTGTGAAGAATATTTTTCCACTATATAGAATTTCAGGAAAAGGTTCCTTTTTTTCTTAGTGTAATTTTTAAAAAATCCACTATAAAGAACTTTTTGTGGAATATAAAGGTTAAAAATAAAAGTTCTTTATCGGCATTGATGGTTCCATGAAGAACCTTTAACATCCATGAAATCAAGCCATTGCACAAAAGTTTTTTTTATTGTGGCAAAAATTTTCAAAAAATGTTCTTCACACTAAGAAAAAATGGTTCTATAAAGAACTTTTCACTGAAAGGTTCTTTGGGGAACCAGAAATGGTTCTTCAATGAAATCAATATTAAATCCCACCTTTGGAAACTTTATTTTTTAAGAGTCTATAGTGGAAAAAAACATTTTCTTTTTAGTGTGAAGAACATTTTAACCATCTAAAGAACGTTTTTTTTTCACTATAAACAACGTTTTGTGCATTAAAAGGTTCCATGGATGTTAAAGGTTCTTTTTGGAACCATCAATGCCAATCAAGAACCATCATTTTTAAGTGTGAAGGATTTAAAGATGTTCTTCAAAAATGGTTCTTTTAAGAACTGTTCACTGGAAAGTTCTGTGAGGAACCACAAATGGTTCTTCTACAGCAAACACCCTTTACACTCTTAAAAATAAAGGTTCTTTATAGGCATCAATGGTTCCACAAAGAGCCTTTACCATCCATGGAAACTTTTCATTCCACAAAAGGTTCTTTACAGTGGAAAAAGGTTCTTTAAGTTACACTTTATTTTGATAGTCCCTTTTAGACATTCTACTAACTATAAGTAACTTTGCAACTACATGTCAACTAATTCTCATTAACTTGCAACTACATGTCTGCTAACTCTCAGAGTAGACAGTTAGGTTAGGTTTAGAGTTAGTAGAATAAGTTGACACAGTCAGTGTGTTGTATGTTGTGGACGCATCAAAATAAAGTGTTAGAAGATATTAAGCAGACAGTCTACTAATACTCTAATGACTGCTAGTTGACATGTAGTTGCAAAGTTACTTACT